TGGGTTTGTTCCAAGTTGGTATACCAACTTTTTAATGTAAGCCGTTGTCTATAGTCAGTGCTGTAAGTAATGCATTTTGCCGAGTCCCAGTCAATGTTGTGCTTTGTGATTAGGTGATGTTCGTCAATGTGATTAGTTTTGTCTTGTTTCTTAGTAGCTCGTTTGTGTTGAGTAAGTCTTATGTTTAAGTTCCTGGCAGTTTCTGATATAGGAGGCGTGGCAGTCGGAGCAGTCGAAAGACATTTTGATGAACAATAGTAAGTTGAAAACGGTATCATCAAACTCTACGAGATGTACATCATCAAAATATGCGAATTAAAGTACCTCTGTTGTCATTAAGCGAAGCAAAGTTTTCAATCAGTTCCTATGTGAACAACTTCAATATCGATAAATATGTTTAAGATATATTTATTTGATTGTTAGGGTTAGCAGCAAATGATCGATTTTCCGGCTTCAATTTTGCAAGAGATGCGTTACCACTCTAATATACATATCAGTGAGTATTACGATTTTTCCCTGCAATTTTATAAGGGTAGGGGTAAAACGCGGAAATGGAATGGCTAAGAGAAAGCCGGAAGAGGAATGGCGAAGCGGAATAGGGGGTAAAACGCGGAGTAGAGAGTTATAAAATGCTGTATATGGTTAAATAATTATTTGCCACCATAAACATATGAATTGTTCAGTTTTAGATAATGAGCGCATGTGAAAGTTAAAAAAATTGAAAATTCACTCCGTGCGTATGTGCAAATTTACATGATCTCAAATGACAGCAAATACTCACACAATATACGCATCAAATATATGAGCAGGAAATACAATTAATTATTTTCAGATACTTGCAATGTGTTAAGTGTTTTTCTTCAAAAAATTAAACATTGTTTGCAGGACACAAAAAACTTGGAATGTATATTCTTTTGAAGAAGATACTGCAAAATGTAACAACAAGTATCAAAACCGGTTGTATATTATTTTAACCAGTACAAGTTACGTAAGTGTGTTAATTTATTTAAATGGACGACATTTCATTCACTTCATCAACTGTTTTAAAAGATAAGTTCTTGCCAATTTTTCATGTAAATAAAACACAGTTATCCACCAGTTGGATCTCTCTTTTCTCACCATTGAAAACATCGCACCTCCATTAAACACTTTATTGGTTATTATCAAACCAACTTTGTTATTATAATGAAGTTGATGCTAAGTTCACCGCGAAAGTCTTTGTGCATATAATTATGCAAGCCTGAATATGTTCTTTAAGACAACAGGAGGTTAGAACATGCATTTTCTCTGTTGTAAACACAAAAATCTGTCACTAGCGTTGTGAGAATGCATTATTCGGGTAATGTGTTTATTAGTATACGTCGAAAAAATAAATACTACATTCAACGTTAATTACAATATCTACTCGGATGCAACGAAGACCAGATTAAAGAGATTTTCCTGTTGTAAAATTCCGGTCCCATACGTTTAAAAATAAAACACTTTGTTGCTGGGGAAAAGCAACTTTCAAATCGTGGGAAAGTGTAAGTCATACTTAAAATCTATACTAATGTATATTTATAACTATTTACCATATACAGCCTTTATTACTCTCTATTCCGCTTCCGCCATTCCGCTTCCGCAATTCCGCCATTCTGTTTCCGCGTTTTACCCCTACCCAATTTTACGACGGAAACTCTCTTTTTTGTTGAGAAATTCTTGTTTAAGAACTGACACCACAATCATTTGTCCGTTTGTCAAATGTACTAGGCAAATATACAGGTTGAATAAAAACGAAGAACTTTACGTATTTTTATAAATTCAATGCTCTGTCAGCAACCTTTGCCCACGACAGGATAAAACTTCGTCATCTAAATGCATTTATTACAAATCTTTGTTATAAGCTTTGTTTGCCTTGGAATTTGACCTCTAAAACCAAAATATAAAAAATAATGTAACTGTAAAATTAGCTAAGTGATCAGGAATTGAAATTTTAACAACAGGATGGTTTCTAAAGGTTTCTTTGTACACCAAATAGTTCTGAAACTAATATCAAATTTTATCTCCTCTTGGAGCAATGCCTGTAAAGTTTTTACCAGTATTATGGTTTTTGTAAGTGAAAAATCTAACACTTATACATTGTAGATTTATATATACACGACAAAGGTAGTCATAAAATGTTTTACACATCACGTCACATGAGTAAAAAAAATATGAAAAACTTCGTTTATCACTCTTAATATACTTATATGGTCTACAGAAAAGCTGCATCGATTGATTTTTCTTTTTAGATCTGTTATTTCTCGGCTCTTGTTATTATAATTTCATGAAAGTTTATTACCAACTTCTCAAGTTCTCAAATTTTGTCCCATAAAAAATCATTTGCTAAGGTGTACCAGCTTTTCCACTATAAAGCATGAATTAAAAGCACGTGTCTTTTTGCTCCCCGCATAATTTTTTAAAGTTCAAACAACTGTATATATGCCCCAGACAATACAATGGAGCTCAGCTTTTGGTCAGATAGAATTTGGTGAAATTAAGGTTCTGGGATTTAACTAATATTACAATCACATGTTGGAATGCAGAAACTTGTTCCACCCCCTAATATGTTAAGGAAAAAAGCCCCTGTGTCTCTCTTTCCCGGATGAAGTACTCAGATCATAATCCATCATAGTATTTAAATTTGCAGCTTAATTCTGTATTTTCATTCTTAACAAATTAATACTTATGGCCTGCTAGGATGAATAGAATAATATTTGGAATCTTAACAACTAAATTTTAAAATTTTGCACTAATGAACTCTACAATCTAGCTAGTTTTAAAAGTCATGTTTTCGTTACAATAGAGACAGTGTTTTTCTTTGACAATTTTACAAAAAAACACATTCGAGGTCAGTGGCGGATCTAGGGTTGGTCAAAATGAATTATTGTCGCACATTTTGGAATATATTTAAATTTCTTAGCCCCTCAGAGGCAAGTCCATTGGTGCAATTATATTCTTTAGAAATTCAAAACCAATAGTGCTTTTCTGAAAGTACTTTGAATTTAAAATTACGCAGCTTTACTATATTTTGCTCGCTGCTGCTCGCTGTGACTACCCCTAGATCCGTTACTGGTCGAGGTGTCTTAAACAGGTTTGAATGAAATACTTATAGTTTTGGTCAAAACAATTTTAGGTCCGTTTGGAAACATAAACTTCAATGCAATGTTTTGTCAAACGATGGGCGGGTCAAGTGCAGTTTTAAAAAATACATGTAAATCGTCAAAAGTGCAAATTTTTTGTTTCATTAACCAGAAACACTTAAAAAAATGTTAATCAACAATCGACGCACAATATAGGTAAAAATTACTAAAAACAAGCGTAAAAATGAGTGGAGCTAGCACAGTTGATTTCAAATTTCCTAGATTTCTTCTATCTTTGTTTAAAATTGCCCGAATCTTTTCCAACTTCCGCCAAAAACTGCCCGACCTTCAATTTCTTAAAAAAATATGGAGATTGTGCAGTTCACACTAAAATGAGATCATTTCTTTATGCCAGCATGTAGCAATAGCATTTTTCTAAATTTAGATGCTTTAATGCATCATTTAGTCCAAAAACCAAATAAGTAGTTTCGTCGCCTCGTTCATGAGCGAACGCTCCGTACCCAAAAGCTATGTGAAAGTGTTATGTTTGTTTTCTTTTCTACAAAATATTGTGACTGTACCTTTTGCTCTTGTTTCACATTCATCGTCAGTTTTTTCACTTGATGGACGAGGGCTGTTCTGTTTTTTTACTACTTCTAGGTCTGACAACCATCGAAATTGCGATTTCTTTGGTTCTGGTTTAAAGTCAAAGTAAGGAGAAGCTTTCCATCCAAAACTTTCATCAATTTCTTTTCTTAAGGCATCTTCATCATTTTGTCTTTCAGCTGCCACTGTCACATACAAAGACAGATAGGGTTCCCATCGTACACCATATCCACCACAAATCCAAGAGAAACTAAATAATGTTATTCAATATAGTTAGTTATATAATAACAGTAAAATTTAAGCAATTTCATTGGTCGAGAGGGCAGACCAGTGAGCAGACCCGTGAACTCAATATTTAGATAACTGGAATGATACCTGAAGCCAAAAATTGAAACCAGAAAAAAATCTTTGTCGTCATCACTCGTCAGGCCTCTGGCCTTCATAATCATTTGTATTTTTTCGCATCTTGGGGCATCCACACACTAGGTATTTTGTCGTCGACAACTTTTCGACTACATTTAATTGTCGACCACGAAAAGCCTTACTACTGCAAGTATTAGGTATTCTTCGCACATTTTTCTTCCGTTCGTTCGTTAAATCAAAGTTACAAAAAACTTTAATTTTAAAATTATCTTTCATGTTAATTAACCAAAAGCATGCGTGCGCATCTTAAAATTTTTATTATTCACTCCCCAAATTAAAAAATGTTCTAAATTGTGACGTCATATCCGAGAAAATTCTTAAACGGACAGACATCAAATCCAGGTGTTTTACACATTGAACTAAAATACATGGAACGCTATCTGTAATACAAAACCCTAATAGTGTGTTTTCAATCAATTATTACTCCGCGAGAGAATCTCAAAACACTACACACGCGTGTCTGGGGTAAAATCTCGCGTGTCTGGTGTAAGATTTGGCTTCAATTATTTGCGTCAGGTAGCGTTCCATGTATTTTAGTTTAATGGTTTTACAGTACATAGGTCGCGTAAAAACACTGGCTCTAGTAAAATGGGAGTCAAAAATTGTGTGCTGCAAAAAGTTTTCTGATGTTATTTTGTCTTCCAAAACAAAACTTAAACGAAATTGATTAGTTATCGCTTGTTCATTCTCACAGCCAATCTCATATTTTAGCACGTGACTTAGGCTAGCCAAAAGCATTTCTTCAATCCTATAGACCAATTTTCCGAAAGTTTGAAAAACAAAAACAACTTGTTTGCCAATTAAATCTTGGGATTTTTTTTTTTTAAACACAAAAAAAATAGATAACAATCAACCGAAGTCTGTTCAGCTATAGATACACGGGTATGACGTCATTTGTGATAAGAAAAAAAAGTGGCCACGAACCAGGATAACACGAACACCATGTATTCGATTTAAGTTCAATACAGTTGTATTGAACTAAAGTTGTTGAACTTACGTTGATGACGTTTTTGTAATGTTTAGAATTTATCTTACTCCTTTATTATCTATCTATTGTGCTCTCGACTATCTGTTCGTAAACAACATTTCTCATTCCTATATATACATATACGTCATTCACTTTTAAGGGGCGTGTCTACAACACTACATCCCTCCTCAACTTAACGGATAACAAAGTCAGGGTTTATTGGGTTCCCATATTGTTCTGTTATTTTTCTTTGTCGAGTTGATCTCCTTGGAGCTGGCTCTTCTGGTTCTGGTTCTATGATGTGTTCTGGTTCTTCACATTCTGGTACGTACGGCTGTTCGTGGATGTTGTATTCATCTTCATCAGTTGATTCTCTCGACTTGTCTCTTATCTTTTTAAAGAACGATGTGTTTCTGGTTATTTGATGGTTATGGTTCTCAGCGACTACTTTAGCTCCTCTACGATAAATCACTGTGTATGGTGTTGGCTCGAATTTTGTTGTGAACTTATCTTTCTTCCTTTGTTTTAAGAGGACTTTGTCTCCCACCCTGATATCTGATTCTTTAGTTCTTCTTTTTTTGTTTGCCACTTCTCTTCCTTTCGATTTCGCTTCAAAATCATTCGCCTGCGCCTCTTTATGTCTATTTAGCACTTTGTCCTTGGGGTTTAGCATTGGTAGGATACCTCTCAATGGTCGGTTAAATAGTAGTTGAGCTGGTGGGACATTGGTTGAACAATGAGGCGTAGTGCGATAGCTGAGTAAGAATCTCGAAAGTTCTTGTGTCCAATTGCGATGTTCCGCACGGGCTGTTTTGATCGCTTTAGCTAAAGGCTTCATGAATGCTTCGGCCTCTGAGTTTCCTTGCGGCCACTCAGGGATTGATGTCTCGTGCTTCACCCCAAGTTTATGTAGATATTTGGAGAATTCCTTACTGTTGAACGGTGGACCGTTGTCAGATTTGAACTTTAATGGGATTCCATGCCGTGCAAAAATAGCATCTATTTTAGGGATCAGTGCTTTGGCGGAGGTACTTGAGATTATTTCGGCTTCTGGGTATCGCGAATACTTATCGATCAGCACGATGATATATTGTCCAGTAGGGAGCGGACCATAGAAATCAGCATGGATGGTTTGCCAAGGGCCCTCTGGCATTTCTGGACTTGCTAATGGTTCTGGTGGGCTGGTTGATCCATTTATTTGACATGGTAGACAGGCTTCAATTTCATCCTTGACGGCCTTGTCCATATTAGGGAACCAGGCGTATTGGCGTAACAAAGCTTTAGTTTTGGCTATTCCTTGGTGGCCTTCGTGGGCCAGCTTCACAACGCTTGTTTTTAGGGTTGTTGGAATGATAATCCGCGTTCCTCGTAGGAGTATGCCATTCGTGTTGTCCACAGATATTTCATCTTTGATGCTAAGAAATGGTTTCACAGACTGATTGCTCCAATCACCCGACTCGACCGCTGTTCTTACCGCCTGAAGACTTATGTCTTTGGTCGTATGTTCTTTGATGACTTCAATTGATATGGCATTTTGAGCTGCATTTGTCGTGACAAACGTGATGTATTCTTCGGCGATGTTGCGTTTGGGAGTCTGTAATTGTGGGTGTCTGGATAAGAAGTCTGCAGGGTTCGTGTCACCTGGTCTGTAAATGACTTGAAAATTGTATTGTTGAAGTCTCAATAACCATCGCTCAATCCTGGCGGGAGGTCTGGACCGAGGATTATTATAGATAAGTTGTAATGGTTTGTGATCAGTGATCAGGGTGAACGATGCCCCAAATAGGTAGATGTGAAAGTGTTCGATACCCCACACGATAGCAAGGGCCTCCTTTTCAGTTTGCGAATATCGTTGTTCTACTGACGAAAGAGCCCGACTAGCATAGCAGATCACGTTATCGGCGTTTGTTTTAGGATCTCTTTGTGTTAATATGGCTGATAAGCCAACTGGGCTTGCATCCACTAATACCGACGTTTCTTTTGATGTATCAAAATGACTCATAACTGGACTGTTGGTTAGTGCATTTTTTAACTTGTCATAAGCTGCTTGGTGTTCCCACGTCCATGCAAAGCGCGAACACTTACGTGTTAGTTTTCGAAGGGTTCTGTAATGGTAGCATAATTTTGGATAAACTTAGAGCTGTAATTTGCCATCCCCAGTAAGCTTCTCACTTCGCTGACCGTTGTGGGTATTGTAGTTTTAACGAAAGCTTCTACCTTTTGGGTCCGGGCAGACCCCATGTTCTGAGAATAATAACCCAAAAAACTCAAGGTTCTTCTTCAGGAACTTGCACTTTTGGCAATTAAGTGTGAGATTGTGATCTTGTAATCGGGTAAGAACTTCATCCAGTGCACGGTCATGGTCTGCTCTATTACTTCCAAATACGATTATGTCGTCAGCAATGTTCTTGACCCTTTAATTCCTAGCAATGTTTCCTGCAGATTATGTTGAAATAATTCAGCTGCGGCATTAGTTCCATAGTTTAATCGCTTATAACGATAGAGACCGCAATGAGTTGAGAATGTTGTGATGCTGCGGGATGCTGGACATAGCTCTAGTTGGTGGTATGCTTGAGCAAGATCAAGCTTTGAAAATATACGTGCTCCATTGAGTTCCATGGATACAGCTTCCACAGTTGGTATTGGATGTCTGGTTCGTTTGATAGCCGTATTTGCTATCCGCATATCAACACACAATCGAATGTTACCATCACGCTTGGGAACAATCACCACCGGAGAGACCCAGTCAGTGGGCATGCCTTCAGGTATTTTCTCTATGATGTCATCGTTCTCTAATCTGTGTATTTCACTTTCCACTTTCAGGCGTAGGTGGAACGGTGTTCGTCGCTGTGGTTGTGCAACCGGGAGCACGGAGTCATCAATTGCTAGTCTAATTTGTTTATTTTTTAACTTCCCAAGTCCGTCAAAGACAGGTGCATGTTTGTCCAAAATGTGATGGAGCTTTGTATCCTTTGTTGTAAGTGTTGAGTTTTCTGGCGATGTGTTAATTTTGTTCAAGTTTATGCTTACAAGTCCAAGTTCTTGCGCTGTTTCCGAGCTGAGTAAACAGCCGCCATCGTCTGATGTCACATATATAGTAGCAACTGTGAACTTGTGTTTTGACTCCGCAAGAACACGAAACTTCCTTCCATCTTGACTGGCGTTTTGAGTTAAACGGGTATGCTTTCACGGATGTGGGTTCAAGCTCAGTATTTCGAAATTTCCGGAAAGTCTTCTTGTCGATTATATTTATGCTTGAACCAGTGTCAATTGTCATTCTGACATATAGTCCGTTGAGCGATATTGACGTTTCAGGACGTTTAGGCTTGTTGTTGTTACAAACCGCATAACAGTATTCCGAATTATTGTCGCTGCTGCTATCTTTCTCCTCATCAGCCTTTACCGGTCGTATGTCTTGGCGTGATTTAGCGGGTGTTTTGATTTTCTGCGGGTTTCGGCTGCGACATTGGCTTGCAAAATGATTTAACTTCCCGCATTTGGCGCATGTTTTGTTCTTCGCTGGGCACGGTTTGTCTAAATGGGGGTAGTTACCTCCACAGTAAAAGCATATCTTCTGTGGTTTATCGGCTTGGGAGTTTTTATTTGTAGGTTGTTTTAGTGTATGTAAAACGTGGCTGTCCAAGTGCTCTTCGATGTCCGCCGCTTGTACTTTACTTGTTTCTTCACGCCTTGCTTCAAGCAACAGATCTTTTAAGGTATATTTAGGATCTCTTAATGCTTGTTTTCGTACACGACTGGATCGTCCACCAATAACAATTTGAACCATTATCTCAAAATCTACATCAGCGAATTCACAGTTTTTAGATAATGAGCGCAGTCTTGTATGAAATTGGTCGATTGTTTCGGACTCTACTTGCTTTGCTTGTCGAAATTTGTAAACTTCATATAACCGATTTTTCTGTGGTTCAAAATACTCCGTAAGAAGTATTTCCGCTTTAGCAAAATCATCATCTTCTCCCGGGTCTGGAAATTGTCGAAATATCTCTCGAATTCGGGGTCCTGCTTGATAAAGAAGTAAAGCCCGTTGTCGAGTTCTATTTGTTATATTACTGGCTGTTAGAAATGTTTTAAAATCTGCCAACCACGTGCGCCATCTATTTGCAATGTTTCCTCCGATTTCTTCATCCGGATTGAAATGTGGCATGGGAGATAAAAATGTTGCCATGTTTGCGTTGATATTTTATTCCTCGTCGCCAATGTAATGTTTAGAATTTATCTTACTCCTTTATTATCTATCTATTGTGCTCTCGACTATCTGTTCGTAAACAACATTTCTCATTCCTATATATACATATACGTCATTCACTTTTAAGGGGCGTGTCTACAACACTACAGTTTTGACAACCTTAGCGGTGGTCATCTTTAGGGTCAAATGAGGGGTTAACGTCAGGTTAGCCGTATTTGTTATCTGATTCATGCGTCATCATATTGAGGGCATAGAAAAGGTGTAGGTGCGTCAATTGTGACTTGTCTTCGGGGATTAGTCTAAAGTTATGTGTTAATTGTTCGTTTTTTTGAGGTTGTGAATAAGTCGTTTGTATGGTGCTTGTAATTGTTTTGATATGTTTAGCGGGTTTTGTTGAGAACTGAGAATTTGTAATCTAAAGAGAGTGTTAGCCTTGTTGAATGGTTTTTACGTATCCAAGGTATAGTTCTTAAAATTAATAATTACAGATGTTGTTTGTGAAAATGCAATGTGCCATTCTTTTAAAGTTCTGCTTAGTTAGTTTTTGGAACAACAATGGTTATAGTCGTTTTCACCATTTTTAACACTCTTTAATGCAATATTTATAAGCAAGATACTTGATAAAGATTTATTGAGACAAACCTTTTTAATAAATCATGAACCTCGTCTCGAATACTGTAGTATTCATTCAAAAAATTTTCCTCAAAAAATATGTCGGCACTCTCTTCATCATCATCAGGGGGTGCAACTGGTGTCTTCATTTCTGTGGTTGTATTAACTGTAAGAGTTGAATTTTTCATTGCTTTTGACAAAGAGTTGATGACTGCTGCTAAAATGAAAACAATCACAAAATGATATTATATTTCAAGATGATAAGCTGGTCGATGGTAGTGTGTTAGTTAAACATGAACCAATGTAGATTGAAGTGAATTCATTAAAAAAAATTTCACAAACTGATAATATTTTTGAGTTAAGTAAATACTAAATCTTATGCTGCATAATCCAAAAAGCAGGAAAGTGAAAAAAGCATTTGTTTTGCTTGTGATTAACCCAAATTTTAAACAAAACAAAACACGGTCTGTTGTTTATCTCTTTGCTGGGTACATTTTGAAGAAACACACTAACAAAATTGTTGTTAGTTGCCAAAGAAGCCTGTTTAGGGGGTATGTTTTTAAAAAATGTCATACATGAGTTATCTGATATGCTAAGCAGTTGCATTATTTCATAACCAACAACCCTTAAATATAACTAGTGACTTTGTACCTAGGACTCATGATTTTTAGTAGAAAGGGTTTTTTATGAACGTAGAAGCAGGGCATCAGGGGAGTGCCGCTTGTTCACAGCTACTTTGAATTTAATAAATTCTGATTTCATGATTGGAAACTTTAAACATATGAAATTGATTGATGGCAGAAAGTTAACAAATAAGTACAAATAACATAGACACTTAGGCTAGATATATTATGTCTTGTAAAAAATCTTTGTGTGCAAAGTCGATTTTGTAAAAAAATTTCCTTTGTTGTCCTACATATACCTCCAGTGCACATTAACCAAGGAGCCTGGATAGCGTTATCCACTGGATAGAAAATTTTTCTGAACTTTCATAAAATCTCTTATAAGTGAAAAATGTACGATTTGAACTGTGCAATCATTGAAATAAAACATTGTTTCCAAGATTACAAAATTTCTTTGTCCTAAGAAAATATAAACACCTTTTTACAAGTTTGAAAATTTTGCTGTCCAATGGATAACGCTATCCAGGCTTTTTGCAACCGGCCCCAGGTAGTTGTAAACTCGCAATAGACATATTTCATCAAAATTCACCATCGTACAATCAAAAAACCAGCTAACCCGACCACGTGCAATTGCAGCCCTAAACAGACACAGTTACCATTCCTCAACAAATAATTCTGAAGTTTGAAAGCAGTAAATTTAGCGAGTTTCGTCAATAACCAAATTGTTTAAACAATCATATACATTCCAAATAAATACGATAGTGGTATCTTAGCTCTGTCAATCATTTTTTTCCACAAAATTTATCAAGTGAAAAACTTTACATATAGAACAAAAATATGTTCATTCAATTTTTGTCAATATCACTACAATTTCAAAACATAAAAACGTACCTCTATCTCCTTAAAAATTGTGCACTTCTTTATCGAATATGGCAATATGGCGAACAACAGTTGAAGTATAAATTGCACTACTTCATCTTAGCAGACTCAAACATGTCCAGTGGACTAGTGCTAATTAGCACGGTATGGGGCAAGTGGAGGGTGCAAGCAAGTTGCGCTGTTAGTAAATAAAAATTATAAAATACACTCTATTACTAAACTATTTTCTTTTAAATAATAAACTCTTTTTATAGAGACTTCAATATTCTGCATAAGTATTGCAGTAAGAAAAAAAAGCAGTGCGAACTGATATAGTAGGTGAAAGTGCAAAGCCTGTACAACAGCATGCATTTCTTACGGATCCTAGCGAAGTTAAACGAATGGAGAAGAATTTATTAGATCTTATGGAAAACTTCAATGAAGGAAAATTGCACGCATTTGGTATGGTTATGTTATTGTCAAAATATGCTCAAACTCTTAAGAGATGAATGATTGTCTTCTGAAATGATCTTAGAATTTACATAAATGTCATATAAAATTACTAAGTGATTCAAGAAAGTCTAGTTAGGAGGTTTTCTCACTCGTGTTTGAGAGACTATTTTAGACTGTATACCAACTAAAGTTTCAGCATCAGATCAGATTACTTCTGATGAAGACACTAGACTGAAGTATATAAGAACTAAAGATTTAACATCAGATCGCTCTTGATGAATACACTAGACTGGAGTATAAAAGGACTCAAGTTTCGACATCAGATCACTCCTGATAAAGACACTAGACTGAAGTATGTAAGAATTCTAGTTTCAACATAAGATCACTCCTGATGAAGACACTAGACTGAAGTATGTAAGAACTCAAGTTTAAACATCAGATCACTCCTAATGAAGACACAAGACTAAAGTATGTAAGAACTCAAGTTTCAACATCAGATCACTCCTGATGAAGACACTGGACTGAAGTATGTAAGAACTCAAATTCAAACATCAGATCACTCCTGATGAATACATTAGACTGGAGTATATAAGAACTCAAGTTTCAACATCAGATCACTCCTGATGAAGACCCTAGACTGGAGTATATAAGAACTCAAGTTTCAACATCAGATCACTCCTGATGAAAACAGTTGACTGGAGTATATAAGAACTCTAGTTTCATGAGCAAGAAATTAATAAATGTGTTCAACCATATTACATTGTTTCCAGGTAAGGAACAAACTCTTGACAAAATGGACAAAGTTCGTGAATCACAGGAATCTTTAGCTCAACTACATTTTGAATTGGATGTTGATGAATCACTTGTAAGTAGGGATTTTAAAACACAATTTTGAAATAGATAGATAGATAGATAGATAGATGATTTATTTTTTAAAACTGGCAGCCATATTGCTGAAATACCTTTAAGATTACATAGAGTACATACATAAATAATATAACTAAATTACATCTTCAATGAGTTATTAGTTATAAAACTGTTTCTAAAACGTTTGGTATTAAAATTAGTATTAAATGAAGATTGAGTCCTAAGTTCCATATTTGAACGTTCTAAACGAGAGGCGAAAGGTCGTAAATCTGTAAAATAAAAATCATGAATCATGAATTAAAAACACTTTTTCATGTATTCACTATTCATATTGATTTAACTCAAACTGATTTTAAATATCTATGGTTTGAGGTTCACTGTCAGTTTTGGGTTCAAAACATCACTATTTCATAATCAATAAATTATAAACAAAATATAGAATTGCAAGTAAAAATTTTAATGCAAAATGCATAGGCTGTAATGTTTGCTCAGTGACTATAAAGTTTGTTCATTAACTGTGTAGAGCTTTCCACTGGCTGTAGAATTTGTTCAATGGTTTTAGAGCTCAGTGGTTGCAGAGTTTGTAAAATTTTGCTCGTGTTTTTAGAAAAGAACACGAAGAAGTGGGAAGAAATCGTAATCTTGAAAAACTCATGAAAGATGTGAGTATTTTAAGGATAGTAACATTAGCAACCGTACTTTTAAAGTATTTCAAGAACAAATGTACGTACATATCAAGTCCTGACAACTTTTTCCTTGTCTTCAGTTAAGTAGAAATCTTTGAAAGAACCGTCTTTAAACAAACGTTAATTTAGAGGGGGGGGGGAGAGTGTTTTCATTTATTTTGTTATGCCAGGCTGATTTCTTATGAAAGTGACATCGTTTTGAAAAGAAATTAGTCAAGCATAGTAGGATGTATGTTAACGTTCAATTTACGCCATGCCTAAAAGATATTAAAATGAAAAAAGCTCATCAACGGTACTGCTAGACTGGTTTTCAGTCCTGAATTCTAATCAGTTGCCTTCCATTGCTGGCTCAGATCAGCTGTCAGCATCTATGTAACAATAAATATAAATACATGGAACGCTACCTGTAATAGAAATGCCTATTAAAAAAAATAAAGCCAAATTTTACATCCAGGCACGCGAGGATTTTGGCGTGTTTTTGTTTCTTGGATGTGTTTTCGTTGCGTGGAAAGACTGGTAACGACACCCATCATATTTGTTATTTTATAAAACTATACCCACAATTCCACAATTACTTACTTTTTCTCATTTTTTGAGGAAAATGATGCACATGTCATTCCTCTTGAGTTTTTTTTGGTGTATCTGTGTAAAGTGTGAATGTCAGTGGTTTAGTGGGTAGCCAGCCCGCATCTTTAGTCGTGCTATGTAAATATTCCTCTTTTTACTCACTGTAAAAACAATATATTTCTAAAGAAGTAAATAACGATCATGCAAAGTTTACCTACACAAAACAGTCTTTTCAAAGTGTTTTTTGAATGATTTTATGAGGTAAGAAATTAAGAATACAGAGTCTTGTCAAGGCTAAAATATGTTTTCTTTTTATTTTCAGCTTGAAAAGTTAAGCTTATCGATGTATCCTTTTACGCTGCTGTTTAAGCATAAAGCTTCACTCCATCTTAGTTTTTCTGCATTGATAATCACTGGCATAGCCAGCCTGCAAGATTACCATTCTACTCATTTCAGAAAATCATTATTCAAGTCACTGCAATCAATGCTGGTGGTGCATTAATTTCTTTAAGCGCACATGTATGCGCATGCCTTGAAACAAGTTTTGATTTCACCTCGTTTAATTATACTCTAAGTATACTAAACAGATACCTCTGGGGTAAAACCGTGATTTGTGGGTAGCGCCAGTCCTTTTAAAAACTATTCAAAAATTATCACTGTAAGTTTTAAAAACCTCTTATTTTTTTTTTAGGGGGGGGGGAGAGGGTGAGGAGGGTTGAAAAATTTCAATGTATACTTGGCTTTGACCGATCATAAGACAAAGTGTGGGAGTAAGCGTTCCAGATGTATTTTAGTTCAATGGGCTAGGGGAGATAACGTTTTAAGCAAGCGTTTAGTTTTATTATCTTCCTTTCTATTTTATCCATGACTAGTTATTATCAGACAAAATCTTCATCAAAACGATCAAAGCTAAGTTAGGAATTGCTTTTTTTGTCCTTATAGTCCTTAGAAGAAGCTTACTGCAACTTTTCGACATCAAACGTTATAAAAAGTGCGTGAAAATTGTGTATATTTGAAATGAACATCGATTATCGAAACCTGAGGACAGTGGTTCCAATAAATTTATTGTCAAAATTCATAGATGGCAAAGAAAACTTGGCTTGTTGTCCCTTTAAGTAATACTTCAAATTAACTGATCAATTGACTAATTATAGACAACATTTATTAGTAAAATTAAGTTTTTTAACTGTATCTGCCATTCGTCTGTGTGAAATGCAAACTGTCAGATTAGCCGTTTCGGTTAGTTTGATATGTGATTTTTCACATGACACATGACATAGCCTTGTATTTAGTCCGAGACGTACTAAAAATTGGACCCAAAGTTACGACATTTAAATTGCGTTATAACCGGAAGTCAAAATTGATTGTCCAAAATCTTCGCATATTTGTTTGTAACTTGAATTTTAATATTATGCGTTTATAGTCTAACACATAATCGTTAATTTTGCAAAGTATTGAAACAATCGCACAACTATACATTATTTTAACACGTTTTGAAGCTAGGCCTTTCGCCGGAAGTGATATTTTATGAATATGAAGTGCTAAAATTAGCATTTTTTAAACAGCAGTAACTCAATCACCATTTATGATATTAACTTCAAACTTTTCATGTGTCATTTATCTATCATTTGTGTAAAAATAAGCAAAATAGAAAGTTTAGGGCTACAACCGTCTGATGATTTGACGTGGAATGACTCTATTGTATGTTGTTGACTATACATGAACTAAAGTAAATGGTGTGAAACCGGGAGTATCGTTACATGTTTGTAAATGTAGATCGTCTAGGTTGGTATAGTCCTGAGAAGGACTGTTTTTGTTGTTGTTGACTGACGTTTCGACAACCTTAGCGGTAGTCGTCTTCAGAGTCAAATGAGGTCGCTCTTGACTTTCGCTAAGGTCATCAATGCGTCAGTCAACATCAACATCAACAGTCATTCTCAGGACTCTACCAACCTGGACGATCTACATTTACAAACATGTATACATGATGTAGTTGCTTACGTGAATAACAGAATAGGCAGTTTACTAGTCTTGTAAAGAATTATCTAGAGAACATTTATCACAACGAGCCTTGAAAATCTTTTTCTCCTATCGATATTCACCTGAGAGGTATGGTTTGATCGTTGACATGATTTATAACGGTTGTACTGAAGAGAAAAGTGGAACATAATTTCCATACTTTCGTGCTCTATATTGTCAGTGTGTGTACATTTAGAGGCATGGTTTTTGACATGTAGATGCCAGTTCGCAAGTTATGTCGTGCTATGTAAATATGTCTGCGTGCATTCACTACACGAAAAATAGATTTCTAAAGAAAAAAAATTGACAATCTTCTGTAATTCACATTGCGCGACCAAACTCGCTACGTTATTGTCTGTGTATATTTCATGTATTTACCAGCCCGATAATTCTCGATAAAGACCGAGCAAGCGAGGTTAGTGAAGGGAATGTACATTATATGTCATGAGACATTTGTATATTTTCTGTTTGCTTTAGAACTTTAGAATTTTTTTTTTAATGGATCGCTAAATATGTGTTTAAGCCAATCAAAGCATGCTAATTCATCGGAACTAACGCTTACCACTGTATAACCGATACCATTGTATAACCGATTACGCAATCAAGTTAACAAGCAAAGTAAAACGTTGAAATTGTCTTTTCTTAAACGTAAACTGTAACAGCTTAAGTCGAATCCAAACCGCAAAAAGTGGTGGGATTCTATTAAAGCCTTAACTGGAAACACAAAAAAATCCCAAATCTCTACCTGCCTTATCAACAATGAAATTTACTCTGGAAAACCTTTAGCGGATAAAACAAATGACATTTTCTCGACTGTAAACAGCATATTGCCCCCTTGCAACCCACTCCTGTGAATGTAGAACATGAGTTTAACTCATTATTTATCATTAGTGAAGAGGATGTTTACATAAAACTTATCTGTTTAAATTCCGGCAAATCTCCTTGCACGGAAGACTTACCAAACTGGATGTTTAAAGTATGCCTCGCTGCCCTAAATGCTTCAAAATTCGACGAGTCTATTCAAACAGCAAATGTACCTAGTAAATGGAAACAAGCTGACATAGTTCCGATCCTTAAAACTCCAAAACTAAATAATTTAACAAAAGACCTCCGTTCAATCTCTTCAAATTCAACTCTATCTAAAATTTGTGAACGTTTTGTAATTGATTGTGTTTTTGACTCGATATGGGATGTCATTGATCTAAAACAATTTGAATCAATTCCTAATTGTCCTTAACAGTTTCTTTCACCACCTGCTTTGTGAAACCGACAGAGCCTGTAACTCAGTGCGAGTTTTGTTGCTAGATTTTGCTTGAGCTTTCAATCTTATTGACTACAACATTTTACTGAAGAAGTTAGAAAACATGAAAGTCTCTGATAAAATAAAGAACTGGATAAGAAACCTCCTAACTGTAAGAAAACAACGCCTGAAACTAAACGATTGCCTCTCTGAATGGCGAACCATCAACGATGGTATACCCCAAGGATCAGTTTTGGGTCCGGTACTTTTTCTATTAATGATCAACGGCCGTATCGAATATTGGCCGTATCGATGGAGATTTTTCGATGACTGTACTGCTGCTAAAAGCATCTTACATAATTACAGCAGCACTTTACAAAACGTAATGAATGAAGTCAATGCCTGGACATCCCAAAACAAAATGAAACTCAACGTATCTAAATGCAAAGAACTAGCATTTCCATGGAACAGGTGGAATAGAGGGAACAGATGGAGAAGGGGAAACAGGGAGAACTGATGGAGCAAGTGAAACAGATGGAGCATGTAGAAATGGTGGAATATGTGAAGTAGGTGGAATAGATGAAACAGGTAAAACAAGTGGAATAGGTAGAACTGCAAGTACCAATGATTTTACCAAAATGTTGCAGCTGTACAAGAGAAATGGACACCTACTTTACGTATTAGGAGGTTTCCTATCTTAACAGAGATAATATTGCAACAATTTATAGGTAATGATGATGTAACTTGCCGTGCTAAATCAATCACAAGTCTTTTCTAAATAAGCACTAAATTTTAACATTTTTATATTAAATGCAATAGACTAAAAATACTCAGTAACAAAGAATGGATATACCGTAACATATTGCTATCAATAAACTCAATACATCTCAGCCAAAATCGCGCATTGCGGGATTTTTATATTGAAGAGATTATTTTAATTAATTCCAGAGAATGGCATTTTATGCATATATATTATGAGCCCCTCCCTTAAGAGTTGGAACTAAAGTTCAGTATGTAGCACCATAGTTTTGATTGTCGACCAATTTCGACAAAATTTTAGTTGTGCTAGGTATTATCTGTACATAAATAATTTACAAAGTTGTGAATATACCGTTATAAGTTTCAAGAATGTTAGGCCCAGTTCAAACGTCGAACTTTACATGAACCAAACGCATTTAAAATTAAAGATAATGAGAAAGTTTAAACAGCCTAGCTCTTACCGATTAAGTTATTGAGCATACAGAAATATTCGCAAAGTGAATATTGTGTTGAAATATGGTCATGCATATACACATTTTTGCAAGCATTTAATAGTGAGGAGACTAGTTTTTCCTGACTAGTTTTTCCAAGTTTTTTGCTGTTTTACATTCAATCTTTACCAATTACGCGTTAGCCCCTGCCAAGTTTTTTAACAACTTCAACTTGCCCAGGGCCAAGTACTTCGGTTTGTCATGCTGTTTCTCGTTATAAAATTCAAAAACCACCTAGTTGATACTCTTAGCAATTTCCACATTTTCGTCAAGATGTTCTCCTTGTTCTTTAAGAAGTCGTTTAGATTCATTGATCAATAAAATCTTGAAATCTAGTACATTTGCAATACCAAAAAACACTTGCAAGAGCTTATTTAAGATGGAAAACATTTAATATGGACTAGACAAATTTTTCGGTATTTTATGAAGTTTGTAAGTAAAAATGGCTTAGTTGTACTCTCTTGTGTCAAAAAATCTCTACAAATTCATGAAACAATTCAAAGCATAGAAATTATTCTCACATTTTACATGACTCACTCTAAGGACGTGTAAACAACGAAATTGTTTCGAAGATTGAAATACTGTGAAATATTGCGTGGACTTTAAGTGGATAGACACTTAGAAGTCATTTCAGCATCTTTAAGATTAAACCTTCAAATTAGTAATTACTGGTGCCACAATTGAGTTCTATAATAACTAGAGCTGGGAACTGCTTTGCTAAATTGGAGGCCGAAGGAACTATTTCCGCTGAAATGTTCGCTTTGCTGAAAAAAATTGTCTCGACCTCCCCCTGACGTCTATGGTAAATTATATAGAAATTTTTAAACACAAACAAGATATGTTTTTTGGCATTTCTTGTACAAAGCCAATACATCGATTGTTCAATTGTTGGATCTTGTAGTTTCCACAAAAAGGACCATCTCGCTTCTCAATGGTGGGATATATGCTTGTTTTGTTAGTCCGTCAACGACTGAAAAGCAATTATATATGCACTTGAAAATCCATAAAATGCGCATTAAAGGTCGTAATGTTAAGACTGACGTGAACACCAAATATACTGATACTTTCTTGTTTTTGTCTATAAAGCTCAGCAACTTTTCTATTACCTTCAAAAAGTATTTAATAAAAAGTGATACAAAAACAGCACAGAGATTTCAAGAGATTTCCTGCTGTGGCACCTACCAAATAATGCATATAGCAAGATTGATTTGCACAATATATTTATTGGTGGCATGATAAGAACTCACTTTTAACAGATGAATGAGAATCTTGATCTTCGAATCCATGTACACTCCTTACTTGTAACACTATCCTCTCCTCTAGAATTAAGCAGATCATCAAGAGAATACAAAGCAGATGATACATGCTTACATCCACCATCTCTACCACCAAGACAACAGCAATACGCATCAAGCACACTGCCGCGATTAGACCCGTTTCCTTCCAATATAAACCATAAATCGTTAACGTCTTTACCATCTTTAGTCATTTCTTTCATTGTAGGCTTAACTTTGCCTATATAAACATGGACCCCAGCATCTTGCCTGTATGCTGTTAGCAAAGACTCAACATATCCATCGTAAAACAAACGATAGTTCTCGAACGACTTATAGGCTGCAACACCCTGCTTGTCGTATTCCGATGGATGATATATAAGATGATTAAATATATCAAACAAGCCGAACGGTGGTGAAGTTTTAAAATCATTTGAAACATTAATCGTAAATGGATCCGGCAGCTCAACGTCATGGATGGTCAAACGACAACTTAAATTTACTTGCTACTCGGCTTTACTGACTTGCGGAATCAATGGAATGTTCATTTTTTCCACTGCACATGCAATGGCTACTAGTAAAAATGATAATAATCATAATAATGTTATCATAATATTAATAATACTGTTATCATAATATCATAATATTAATATTAATAAAAAAGTAAAAAATAGTATTAGTTAATTGATTTTTCTCACAATTTGGAATTCAAAATCGCCATTATAGGCCCGTTTACACGGTAATCAATTTTGGCACGGTACTCCAAATTTTAGGTACGCGAACCTGTTTTCTTGAGTGCGGCTCTCCAAATTTTTCTCGTGTAAACGGATAGCAGGCCTAAAATTTAAGGGCCAGGTGCCTTTAAATTTTAGCGTGCCGGGACCTCCGAAATAGGTAGTCTCGGCCCGTCAAAAAAGCGGCACCGTGCCGAGTTTCTAGCTATATCAGCAAAATGAAGCAATAATAAGCGCGAAAAGGATATGGCGGGAATTAAAATAAACAAAGATGGCGGCGACACCAAAATGCATGAAATGGAGTGATGAAAAAACAAGAAGTCTAATAACTCTTTGGTGCGACGAAAATATACAAATTGCATTGGGTAATTCAAAAGGATCCAAAGATAAAAGCAAGGTTTACAAGTCCTTACTGGTAAGCCATTTTATTGTGATATCAGACATATTGTATTAGCTTCGACTTTGAATAGACTCGTATAGATTTTACATACGCTGTGCACTGGCGTTGGTTGAACGTTATTTGGCGGACCATATTCATGTATTCTGCTATGCCAAGCTCTTTTTTTGAAAGTGGTATCCTATACAAAAGAAATTAGCCATGCATAGTAGAACATATGAATACTGCACCTTTCAATAGTTCATTGATGCCATTGAGGCTGTACGTTTACGTATCTATAACCTTTATTGACAGTGCGTGTTATTGTAAGTTGTTCATTTACAACTTATATTTCCTACATAGTAGGAATAAATTGCCACGAACGCATTACTATTTTGCTTGGTTCAATGCATTATTGTTATTTAAAAAAGGTGCAACATGTTATTCATTTTAAAGGAGCAATTACAAGAAAGAGGCTATGAAGATATTACACTAAAAGAAGTAATTAATAAAATTAAGAAATTGAAGCAAAAATATAAAAGTGAAAAAGACAATGCTAAGAAGAGTGGGAATGGGAGAAAAAAGCCATGGAAATACTTTCAACAGTTGGATAGATTTTTATCCCAAAGACCTAATGTGACTCCAGTGGTTTTACTTGACATCATGGCTGAGGCTGATAGTCAAAAAAATAGTCAGTCGGACATGTTGAGAGATGATGTTGATGATGAAAATGATGACATCATTAATGGTATTATTTTGAAATGAAATGTTTTCACATTTTGCTTAATGATGATAATATGATCTTGTCACAAAACATTTTTTGCTTTTAATCTTAAAGATATTGTCAGTAAGTATGGTAGAGGTGATAAATCCATCAAAAAATGCCAGACATGTGATTATGAAAAAGTTATATATAGTGATGGAGTACACACAACAGAGAGTGGATGTATGATGGTATACTGTGAAGAAGAACCATTTTCTTGCCCAAATTGTGACAGTTCAAATGAAACAGGTAATATTTGTATGGAAGACAATTTCTGTTTGTTAGTTCATCAAAACAAGATATGTGCTCCAGCTATCTAGTAATTGTTTTTAAAATTAATTAAACTTTAGTTAATGTGGAAGTAAATCAACAGACTGTAGCTGAGAATCGAGCTATTGAATATGATAAAGGGAATGACAAACCAAAGCCAGACTTAGGAGAAAAGAGTCTTGGAAACACTTACAAACTAGGAAAGAAACAAAAGAAAAAAAGGAGTTCTATTGAAAAGAGCATGGATGCTGTCCTGGAACAATTCAGGGCAATGTCAAATGATGATTTTGAAAGGTATATTCACCTTCTTTATATATTGCTTGTATTTTTGCATTTTGGTAAAAATACCAGAAACTTTGATTTGGACATCTACCCCTCAGATGTATTCAGCTTTGACAATGTCTGTCACAATCATTATTTGATTATAATTTTGTAGGTATAAAAAGCTTGAAGAATTTAAATTGGAAAAAGAGCAGCAATTTCAATTAGAGCAAATGCGACTCGAGAATGAACGAAGAAACCAGGAAAGAGAGCATGAGCTAAAGATCTTCCAATTGTTATTTGGGAACCAGGCTACCCAGAACATCCAATCTACTGGCAGCTCATCACAAATGTTTGCCCAAACATATGTAAGTTTTCAACAACAGACATTTGGAAATGGCTGCACCAGTATCCAAACTCCAGGCTGTAGCTTCGTAGACAGCAATGATGATGAAGAAAAAACATATTTCAGGTTATGATTTAAAGTATTTGAAAAGTATTTATTTTTAAGTACTTATGGTCACTTGAGTCTTTTAGTTCTGTTTTGAAGTTATATTTGTGGAACTGTTTAATACTATCTGAACATTAAACACAATATTTGTACACTCATGAATCTTATTTTGTATGTTGCAATAATTAACTTAGTTAAATGTTTTGAATATTTCATTGTGAGTTAAAATAGTCAGCTAATATTTCTCGAATGTCTTCACCATCGTCCTCAATTACATCACTGGTTGGTACCTCAAGTTCTTGGTCAACGTTTTCTTCCCATTGTGGCAGAAAGTTGTTATTTTGCACTTCACAAATATTATGCAAAATGCAAGATGCCAACACAAGAATCACCAAATTCTTCACATTCATATCGATCCGCTTACTAAATCTGATAAAGCGGCCTTTCCATTTGCCAAATGTGTTTTCGACTGTCATTCGCGCTCTGCTTATACGATAGTTGAAGACTCTTTGTTTTCTAGTTAAAACACCTTTAAGAGGATAACCTTTTAAGAGCCACGGCAGTAATGGGTACGCAGGATCCGCCAAAATGACAGGGGATAATTCTTCTCCGTTTATTTCTTTCTTAAGATCAGGGGGGAACAGTTTACCTTCGTTGCCTTGCTTGTAAATAGCAGAATTTGAGAAAACCCGTGCGTCATGAACGCTACCAGGCCATCCAATGAACATCACGAAACAAATAATTACAATCAACACAAGCTTGCATGATTATACTGTGAAAACCTTTTCTATTCACGTAATCTTCATGGCTCTCAGTGGGTGCAATTATTGGGATGTAAGTACCGTCTATTGCCCCAGCACACATAGGAAAACCCCATTTTCGGTAGTATCCATCAATAACTTGATGTATGTCTTGTCCACGTGGAAATGTAATAAACTTTGACATCCGTTTTGTAATAGCACGACTTACGTCTCTGATGCATATGCACACAAACGATCGAGAAACTCCAAATAAGTTTGCTATTGTTTTATATTCCGCTGTGGACGCAAGGTAGTACAACGTAAGCGCAAGTCGTCTCTTCGCCGTTATTGCTAATCGCATGGAAGTATTTTTGTGCAGTATGTTATGCCTAACTTCATTTAAAAGAAAATTGAATGTTTCTTTTGTTACTCTGAAATTTGTATATCAAAGGTCATCGTCAAAATCCGAATCAACCATATCAAACCAAGCAAGTGATCGTGGGTGCATCCATAATGTCCTCGTTCGACGACTGTTAATAGCTATCAAAATCGCATTCATGAAAAAAAGTAGAGATTTACTCCTTGCATCAGTCCATGACTTGCTTTTCAGGAGTTTTTTCCCGTGCTTTTTCCTGAAATTCGTACGCTTGCGGATATAAATCAACCATACCAAATATTTATTTATTTTATTTAGATTATTGAAAGGCGCCATTTTGAATAAACCGCCAAATTGACGTCATTTACAGGAAAATGACCCGCTGACAATTGGAGTACCCCGAGGAAATTTACGGCCTGTCAAACTGAGAAAATTTGCTCGTGTAAACGCAAATCAAGTGCTATAAAAATGAGTTCGCGTGCCTAAATTTTGGAGTACCGTGCCAAAATTGATTACCGTGTAAACGGGCCTTATTTTCGTAATGCGAATTCAATGCACGGCGTGATGGCGTCTTCCAAGTGGTATGAATACTTATGCCAACACCTTACAGCAAAACAATCTTTTTTCTTAAGACTTACAATAGCAAGTACACATGTGCATTAACAATAAAACGAAATACGAAATGTAACTTACCTAGATATTTTGGCTTGTTTCTTTGGCTGGTTTCTTGTTTCTTGTCTCTTGTATTTTATACGTCGTCAACAACACAATGAAAATGCCCTTATTTAATATTTAATTTCGTAGATATTGAGACGACAAATAAAGTGTGATCTTCTGAAGTGCTCGATCGGTCTTTTAGCAACTAAACCAACAAACTGAACATTTAACAGCTCAAAAAAGTAAGAAACATGTTCACTTTCGAATGTTCAATTACTATTACTAAGCAGTTTGCATTGTGGAGTGTATATTTAAGGTCATGTGACAATAGTATCAATTTCAAAAACAAATTCTGATATTCATAAAGTTCCTATGGAAATAAGTACTTGAAGGCAAATTAATTGCAAATCACATAAATACATTTTAAAATGTTTGTTTTACATTTGTCTGTTTGCATTATTGCTGTTTTGTAAAGAAATAAAAGATGATTGTGTTTGCACTGGCTTAGTTAAATCGAGGAGACTTTATGAGAAGTATTAAGCGGGTGAAGGGTGCAACGGTCGACAACTCGACCTTCGGTCTCAAGCTTTCACTGACTTTCTCTCAAGTTCTCCTAAGTCTCCTCAGTTTGTATAAGTCTTTAAATAAAAACATAAATAAGTCAGAAAACTATGAAGAGACAGGCAGACTGAGGTCAAGTCAAGGTCTCCAAAAAAGTATTCCTAAAAATAAAATGTTGTGTATTGAAATTTTCAAAAGATGAAAGGTCTATTTCTTTGACCATCCTGTGCAAACATATATTTTATATATTTTTGAAAAACAAGATGAGAAGAGCTATAACTTGTATAATGGTAACAATACCATTATCCAGACAGGACACAGTAGTTAGTGGAACTGAGGAAGGTGGGACAAACCTGATAAGGAACTGTTTAGTTACACAACGTGACTGGGCAGATTAAGCAAATATTTCCGGATCTCGTGGTGTGTGGATAATGTCTTTGTTGACTGTGGCAACAGATAAATCATAAGACCACAAAAGATTTTTGTTAAGGACTGAATTTAAATTTTGTGTATAGGTGTAACACAGGTGTAACATAATAACGTTCATTATCTGTAATACTTCATCAAAAGAAAATTTAAGCAAATGGCTCTTTTATAGCAAATTTTAGCTCTAACCACACAATGCAATTAACATCTCGACCTTCGCCTTAGAGTTAATGGAAATGTTTAATTCAATTTATCCAATGCTCAATCAAAATGCTCCAATCTTGTTATCATATGTATTTTAGTATTTCTATAATTTCGTAAAAGCACTATTGCCAATACACATTTAATATAAACGACAACTTTTTGAAAATAGACATGTTTCGACATGTCATGATGCCATCTTCAGTATGAGTGAAATAATAGGTGATACAAGGTTTATATAAAAGTAATATGATACATAAATTACAACAATAAAATGAAAATAAGATAAATTAATGAGGAGCGTTCGAGCGTATTATAAACTAAATATTGCATTGAATTTAAAAACTTGAACATTGAGGTCAGGGTTAGTTTTGTTAATGTGGAGCGCTTCTTTGATTTTAAGGGTGAATGAGGTGTCGGCAGTGTCGATGATTTTGAAACAAGAGGGTGAATTTGTCTGTTGTGGTATGTTCCCTCATTCTGGTGGATAAATGGCGCGAAGTTTCGCCAATGTATCGGGAATTACATCCCGCGCAATTGAATTCATGTACCACCATAGATTTAATTGAATCAGGGATTGGGTCTTTGAATGAGAAAAGGTTTTTGATTTTGAATGATGTGAAAATTAGTCGAATGTCAATATCTGTACAGAAGCGTTTCATAATGTTTGTAAGTCTGCGTTGTGTGTGTTGTGAGTAATGTCCGATGTATGGTAGTTTGAAGTATAGAGTTGTTATTTTGGAAATGAAAATTCCCGATACATTGGCGAAATTTCGCGCCATTTATCCACCAGAATGAGGGAACATACCACAACAGACAAATTCACCCTCTTGTTTCAAAATCATCGACACTGCCGACACCTCATTCACCCTTAAAATCGAAGAAGCACTCCACATTAACAAAACTAACCCTGACCTCAATGTTCAAGTTTTTAAATTCAATGCAATATTTAGTTTATAATACGCTCGGACGCTCCTCATTAATTTATCTTATTTTCATTTTATTGTTGTAATTTATGTATCATATTACTTTTATATAAACCTTGTATCACCTATTATTTCACTCATACTGAAGATGGCATCATGACATGTCGAAACATGTCTATTTTCAAAAAGTTGTCGTTTATATTAAATGTGTATTGGCAATAGTGCTTTTACGAAATTATAGAAATACTAAAATACATATGATAACAAGATTGGAGCATTTTGATTGAGCATTGGATAAATTGAATTAAACATTTCCATTAACTCTAAGGCGAAGGTCGAGATGTTAATTGCATTGTGTGGTTAGAGCTAAAATTTGCTATAAAAGAGCCATTTGCTTAAATTTTCTTTTAATGAAGTATTACAGATAATGAACGTTATTATGTTACACCTGTGTTACACCTATACACAAAATTTAAATTCAGTCCTTAACAAAAATCTTTTGTGGTCTTATGATTTATCTGTTGCCACAGTCAACAAAGACATTATCCACACACCACGAGATCCGGAAATATTTGCTTAATCTGCCCAGTCACGTTGTGTAACTAAACAGTTCCTTATCAAGTTTGTCCCACCTTCCTCAGTTCCACTAACTACTGTGTCCTATCTGGATAATGGTATTGTTACCATTATACAAGTTATAGCTCTTCTCATCTTGTTTTTCAAAAATATATAAAATATATGTTTGCACAGGATGGTCAAAGAAATAGACCTTTCATCTTTTGAAAATTTCAATACACAACATTTTATTTTTAGGAATACTTTTTTTGGAGACCTTGACTTGACCTCAGTCTGCCTGTCTCTTCATAGTTTTCTGACTTATTTATGTTTTTATTTAAAGACTTATACAAACTGAGGAGACTTAGGAGAACTTGAGAGAAAGTCAGTGAAAGCTTGAGACCGAAGGTCGAGTTGTCGACCGTTGCACCCTTCACCCGCTTAATACTTCTCATAAAGTCTCCTCGATTTAACTAAGCCTGTGCAAACACAATCATCTTTTATTTCTTTACAAAACAGCAATAATGCAAACAGACAAATGTAAAACAAACATTTTAAAATGTATTTATGTGATTTGCAATTAATTTGCCTTCAAGTACTTATTTCCATAGGAACTTTATGAATATCAGAATTTGTTTTTGAAATTGATACTATTGTCACATGACCTTAAATATACACTCCACAATGCAAACTGCTTAGTAATAGTAATTGAACATTCGAAAGTGAACATGTTTCTTACTTTTTTGAGCTGTTAAATGTTCAGTTTGTTGGTTTAGTTGCTAAAAGACCGATCGAGCACTTCAGAAGATCACACTTTATTTGTCGTCTCAATATCTACGAAATTAAATATTAAATAAGGGCATTTTCATTGTGTTGTTGACGACGTATAAAATACAAGAGACAAGAAACAAGAAACAAGCCAAAGAAACAAGCCAAAATATCTGGGTAAGTTACATTTCGTATTTCGTTTTGTTGTTAATGCACATGTGTACTTGCTGTTGTAAGTCTTAAGAAAAAAGATTTTTTTGCTGTAAGGTGTTGGCTTAAGTATTCATACCACTTGGAAGACGCCATCCGCCGTTCATTTAATTCGCAGTACGAAAATAATGGCGATTTTGAATTTCAAATTGTGAGAAAAATCATTGAGCATTTCTTCAGTTAAAATGCTTTTGTTTGTGCTTTTGAAAATGAAGTACCTAAGAAGAAAGGTAGTACATTGAGTGGAAATCGATGATAATTTTTTACCATATTAAAGTGAATCTTTATATATATTATAATTCTGCGTAAAAGGATGTCACAAGAATAATATTTCCATGAAGGCAAATTTTGTTTGTACAAGTCATATTTTTTCATCAAAAGTAAGAAACGATGCTGAAACATAAGACAACTGACATTCCGTATAAAGTAAACATTTTTAGTCTAAACGCTTCGACAAAGACAAAGCGTTAAATAAGCCGTTTGGTTTTATTCACTATGATGATATGATGTATGAATTTCGAGTTCAACGTTATGACTTCCATGTACCCATATTGGTTTTCCGTCGGATGAAGTTAATTGTGATAACTCTTTGAATATGCACCATGCACAAGACAAACTTCCGGCCAATTTAAAGTTTGGATAGAATACTTGCGAAGTACATACGTTGTAATTGTATGTCATACGAAGTATACAAGTGCAGATTCATAGGAAGAAGAATAAGAGTGAAAAGACGAAACGGTGAAATAGGTCGTTTTTACAATATTTGGATGACAAAATAATTCAATATTTATATGTTAACGATGGCAGTAATTCTGTTCCAAGGACAGTCTCAGGCTTAATTGAATTTTGGTAGTTTATTTAGCCAAATTTTGTTATCGATTTGTCTTATTACATTCATTGATTAAAAAGCAGTTCTTTATTACTGATTCAAGCATAAACAGTCTTTTTGCTCTTATGTGTCACAAGGAATGAACCCTTTTTTTTTACTGTATTGTATATCATTCTGGAGGCAAAATGATTTTTAATTAACATGAGAGACATTCCTTTAGTTCATGGTAATGGCAATTTTAAAATACACATAAATATGTATAAGATACATAAATTAAAATTCACATAAAATACACATAAATATGTTCATCGAAAATTACAAGAATCCAGATCTTACAAACAACTCCATCCTAACACAAACGAATTTGTCACAAACATCTCGAGCAAACCACTAACTGCACAGCAAACTAAAATTTTAAACAAAGGATTACATTACAACTTCAAAGACGCGAACAAACTTGACGAACTTAAAGTAAATGGCTCGAACCCGAGACTATCGTTACATGTTTGTAAATGTAGATCGCCCAGGTTGGTATAGTCCTGAGAAGGACTGTTTTTGTTGTTGTTGACTGACGTTTCAACAACCTTAGCGGTAGACTCTGAAGATGACTACCGCTAAGGTTGTCGAAACGTCAGTCAGCAACAACAAACAATCAGGACTTTATTAACCTGGACGATCATCATTTACAAACATGAAACTGACTACGTTGCCGACCTGGAATCAGCTTTAAAGTACACCAACTTAACAGACCAAAACAACAAAGAACTACGAGCACTTAAATACCTACAAAACGACGACGAAATAATCATATTACGAGCTGACAAAGGACGCAAAACAGTTATCATGGACATATCAGAATACATCGACAAAGCCAAAATCCTCCTACAAGACACCACCACCTACGAACTTCTCCACGCAGACCCCAGCAAAAACGACCACCAACCGCATCAACCAGAAACTGAAACAACTAAAAGACAAAAAGAAACTGACCGAAAACGATTACAGAAGAATCCGACCTAATGACGCATCCACCGCCAAATTCTACGGACTACCAAAATTCCACAAAGAAAATAACCGACTTCGACCTATCGTATCACTTTCAGGATCACCTACGTATGAACTTTCAAAATATCTTTATAACATCCTGTATCCATTAGTCAAAAATTCACCTCACACCATCAGACATCAACTCAAATCATGTTTCACCAAACATAAAGACAAAACAACAATTCATGATACAACTGACGCGATCTACATGATACCATGTAAAGACTGTTCAAAACAATACATAGGACAAACATCAAAGAAAATCGAAACAAGACTCACAGAACACAAAAACGCCATAAAAGGACGAGATCCGAACTCACTACCGGCAGAACATACCCACAGAAACAACCACACATTCGACTGGACAGAAACTAAAGTACTCGGACGCGCACAGACTAAACACGCACGCAAATTTAAAGAAGCTTGGTACAGTAAAGACAACGACACAATAAAAAGACATATCGACATACCCATCATATACTCACAACTAAAGAAAAAGGACAAAAATACTACAAACAACACCAAAACTATTCTATAGGATAACTGCAATAGGATAATATTCGGGACTACTACGCACGCAACCAAGATGGTCTTGACCACCATAATATATTATTTTTCAACTCTCTTACCAACACTCCTCCTTACCCAAAATATGCAGGGTTTTCCTTACCTAGGCAATGTCATCTCTCTGCCACCTCTACCAACTCTCTTTCACGCTCTTAGGCAACACATCATCCCAATTTGTAAAACAGGGACTTTGTCGTGGTGACAAATTTGAATATCGCCTTAAAGAGAGCAATTGCCATAGCGAATGGACTGAAACCAAATAAAAACCACGAAACCCTAGATAAAACCGAGAAAAAACTAAACAGAGAAAAGAAAGAAAACATCAAGAGTTCGGAAAAGAACTGTTTTAGAAACTTTGCATTTAGGCAAACAACTCGTCAGTTGTCAACATTTGTTATCTGTTTGGGTGAATTAACTTGTATATATATGTTAAGTTTTATCTTTATGCTGTCGACAACTCCTGCATGTTTGTTTGTCAAAGCGAAAAACGTTGATTGCTATTAAAGAAGAAATATTCTATAAAAGTCACGAAAACGTCTGAAACTTCAACTCCCTGTCTCACAAATGAAAGTATCAAGTGTAAAGTAAATATTGACTTTCATAATTTATCAGTACTTGTACATGTTGCCATTATTTGGAAACAAGATCTTGGAGGAGTTACCGACAGTAGAAAGTAAGGTCTCTTTTTCTTTGTATTTTAATTAAAACATGTTTTATCAATTTTGCCGCGTTTTTGCTTAGTTTGAGCTGAATAGTCTTTTATCAAACTATCTTTGATACGATATAGTTATTCAGTTGGCCTTGACTTGTCGAATTATTTTCTGAATCTATCAAACTTTCAGTCGTTTAATTTCTGCAGTTAGTTTTACAACCTTGAAATTGTAGTTTTTGAGTTGTTGCCGCTAAAACGTTTGTTGATCTTTTGTTTTTTTCTGTGCGCTTAGTGTTATAATACTGTTTTTAAAGCCTAGTTTGCATAGTTACTTATAATTTAAATTTGCAACTACTCTTTTGTCTGCCCACATAAATTTTTAGATGCACAGCTTGCATATACGGCAAAAACATACAAATCTTAAACAAACAGCAGATAAAGTGACGAAGTTCTACCGAAAACTTTCGTTGTATTACAGCTATAGAATACTGATGTATACCGAGTGCTAGCCGCTAAGAGAAAGAGTCAGAGTTTGAGTTGTATTTTGTGCACATTTTTACGGGAAGTTCTTGCTATGAAATTTGAGCATACGTCATTTGGGTGACATTCACTGCATTACATGTACTTGTATTCAAAAAGGTGAAAAGTCAGCAATTGCAAAAACATTTGTCAACCGCACTTTTACTCATTTCACGTAACACAGTACAAGGTATTTTTGTCCATACCAGCATTACTGCAAGCATTTTATCTGTTTCTAGAATAAAAGAAAAAGCAAGCACATATCACAATTCTTGTTATAATGATCAAAGCATGACATTAAGTAACTGTATATTTACAATTAAATTTTTTCTGAATTCAATACTTCCATATTTCCTGATATTATGTGCTATGCACAACGTCGATTTCAAATCGTTTTAAAAAAGTTATTTTTAAACGATTTAAAGTCTATCATATGCATTTCCTTTAGTATCATGTCTTTGAGAAGAAAACTTTCTATGTGATAAGTATAAAACTGACAATGTTCTCCGAATGTTTTATAGTTACCTTCTTCAAGCAAACTTAACTCTCGCAGAATATAATTTAATTTAATATATTGACCTTCTTCTAATTCATAAAAATAACCCCACTTACTTGGATCCCGATAAACAGACTCAGGAAAATATAAATTGTTTTTGATTAGATTAACTCATATGTGGCTTAAATCTAGTAGTTAAGATTGTAGGCAAAAAACCTCTTGTAAATTGTCTACACCCGAAAAAAAAAACAATGGTTTTATAGCTAATGAGTAATAATGGAAATGTCTGAATTATGTCCAGGATTATTCAAATCAAATAAGATTATCAACACAAAACCATTCAAGCAATATAGACCGTTAGAGCCCTCAATCATGGCAATATTTGATTTAAATCTTAACTATTTAGCTAGTTTGGTTTGATTTTTATGCAAAAAACATTTGTTTTTTTAAAAGATACTTAAAATGCTACATATAATTTTGAGCAAAAACTATTTCGTTTTAGGAAGAACAATGAAAGCTGCATCTGCAATTGTTTTCTTTACAATTTTTATTTCTCTTTGTAAAGGTATTATAACTCAAATAATTTTAATTTTCTTGAATTTTCAATGAGTTCTGATGCAAAAATACTCTTCTGTTTACAGGAAATATAACAGTTTTAAATAAGAACAGAACATTCTTATTTCATCCTGGTACCACAATAAATATAACGTGGACGTTTAAAGTTTCATACCCAATTATACATCGGGTGTGGCTTTTTACTCCCCATGGCTCGTCTTCCCGTAAAAGACTTGCAGACTTGCATGATCATGGAGGAATTGTATATTATCATTCTTATTCAAACTTAGAAATTCACGTTTATAAGCCATCAATCTTAGAACTAAAAAATATGGATACACGTTACAATGGGGAATATACCCTAATCATCTATACCAGAATGAAACGCTATTCGAGGAATGTCAATGTGTATATCGTTGGTAAGCTTTGATTTTATTCATTAGGCTCATTGTTTTGTGGCTTGGTACTTCTTCATGTGGCTTGGTACTTCTTCATCTTTATTATACATATTCATGATCTTTATATGTAAATTATTGTTTAAACGAAACAACTTTTTTGCAATATATGATCCGATTAATTTTTCAGACCCATAGTTTAAAGTATGGCATCTTCAAAACGATACAAAGATATTGCGAATTAAAAAAATTTTTGCTTTTGTTCTAGCTTCTAGATCACGTTTAATGCCTACAGCATTTTCAACTATAAAGCTACCCAGAAATTCTACTTCTAGAAATAATAACTTTCTAATGTTTTTTCAGCGTTTTTCATCGTTAAACTGTGCATTTTTTTTGGTTGTGCTTGCAATGTATATGATTGTTTTAGGTAATAAATTTCGTGAAAAAAAGGTTTTCGTAAACATTGCTTTAAGAACTTTTTTTAAAATAAAATATGCGAATATTACCAGCTCATTAGTTTAAGCACCAAAAACAAATGAAAAAATTAAGTTGTCAAATTTGCTTAATTCTTCAATATGAAATTCATAACTAACTAACAGTTTCCTGAGCTTGCTTGAAGTATCGTGTCATTGTGAGAACTGTCACAAAACTCAATTTTTTGTCCTTGCATGTGATGGCAACAGGATGTATTTTTATATTAAAAATAATTAGAGGAAACAGTTATAAAAAGTATGCATAAAGTTCCCAAAGCAAAAAGAATTGCAAAAATAAATCTTATTATGTTTACCTACGCTTTTGTTTTAGTTCCCACATCATGTTTATCAATGAAAACGTTTTCAACCGATATGCCATTCAACATATCTTTTACTAAAAACGGTATCTTTATCAATTCTTTGAATTATTCCATTTTGCAGTGTCGAATTGTAGTGTGCATTCTTTTTTGCTTGCTACTTGCAGTGAAAATTATTGTTTAAAGTAATTATAAGTCCGTAAGTTAAAAAGTTTTCTAGAACATTTTCTAAAGAATTTTTACCAAATCAGAATATCGTCAACATTGGTTTGCTTCCGTAGTCCGTGTGGTTTTTCTGATATTTAAAACGTAGCTACATTACATGATAATGTTATAAAAATTGCTTATTAAAAATAAATTATTTCAATCTAAAAGAGGAGAGAATAAGCTAATTCAAATTTTTGATAAGTTAAAGTTAACAAAAATATGATGTTCATTTGAAGGCAATCCTTATGTATTATGCAAACAATAGAGGCCGGTTGCACGAAGGCCGAATTGCTTTGCATTGGATAGCATTTTTTGAACTTTCAAAAAATCTCTTATGAATAAAATTATACGATTTCGACTGTGCAATCACTGAAATAAAATATTGTTTCGAAGATTACAAAATTTCATTGTTGCAAGAAAAATACAAACACCATTTCTACAAGTTTGAAAATTTTTGCTATCCAATGAATAACGCTATGCAGGCTTCGTAAACCAGCCCCTGAATTAGAATAATTCTAGAATGAATATTATGTAAGCAAATTCTGTTATTCCAGGTTCCACTCAGCTTCTTTCACCGACAACATTGTCAACTATTGCGCAATCAAGTGTCTTTGCCTCTACAAACGGTAACTAAGTTTTTCAAGTTTACTTTTTTGCGTTTTGCAAATGTTCAGCCCATAGTTTAAAGTATAACATGCTTACAATGCAAAAAACATATTGCGAAGAAAAAAGAACTGTTGATCGATGTTGAAGCGTTTTTCGTGTTGTTTTAACACACACGCAAGTCAGCACGCGTGGTTTTTTTTCATTTTAACACATTTAATTTTTGCAGTCTAATTGAAAAGAAATCGGATAAAGCTAACAATATGAAATTTTACATAAAAATTCAAACTTGCTGACTGCATTGTGCTGACTGCATTCTTCCAATGATAGTTTTTGTGATGCTTGGTAGCATTTCATGTCTACTTAACATTGCCAAATATTGGATTCATTAACTAAATATTGGATTCATTAACTTTTAAAAATCTTGTATAAATTAAAAGGCATTTAGCATTATTTAATTTCGTTTTTTTCAACACAAAGGGAGAGCAGTTGCGTCTACAATCAGGCCAAGTGGAAAGCATTATGTTAATTTTTCGAAAAAGATGAGCACGTTTGGCTGTTGATTTGGACTGGTGGTGGGGTGTTTGTTCTGTTGCTACTTACAATTATTGCTTTATTAAGTGTAAGTTAAAGTAATTTGTTTATAATCTTATAGTCCAATTTTTTGTGTCAGGAAAATATTCAAAATCTGATTATTTTGAGTAAAAATACTTCCTTGGGAGTGAGCATACTCCAGAAGCCGATGTAACATTTAGTTACAGATACTAAAAAAATTTAATCACTCCTAAAAGTTGTTTCTTCTATGTTTTAACACAAACTCACAGCTCTTTTAAAAACATGCATGCGAAGAGCTAAATAAGCATGTCTATACATCTGAGATAAAATTTTATTACATGAGTAACAATTTTAACAGTTCCTCCTTATTGTCTATTTTTTTAGTATAAAAACAGAATCCTTACGAAGAGAGTTGAGGTCTTTGAAGGACTCCAATTAAAAGAAATGTCTTGATTATCTATCCACTTCCTATTTTCTTTTGAAGAAGTTAATATTTTTTTAAGAAGTTAAGAACTCCTTTGTTAACAATAATTAAAGATAAAGTTCATTTTATGAAGAAATAAATATTTAAAATTTTTAACAAAATATGACGGCGGAAGTTACTTTCAAACCCGACATCGCATCTTACCAAATCCATAACACTTACACTAAACTACAGAAGCCTTTTAAAGTTGTAGTAATATCGAAATTTTTTTCATTATTTAAGTTTTTCATAACACTGCTTTAAATTATACAGCCTACCAAATTCCGTTTACGCAGCAGTGAATATAGCCACTTTGTTAAAAAATGTCGAAAATGAGAACTATTGTGAAATTTAGTTGTACTTCTGAAGCTCAGAAGCTGGCAAGCAAAAGCCAAAAAATGTTTGCTTAAAAAGATCAGTCTAAAAGAAACAGCTTGAAATGAGGATAAGATACAAAATAACTTAGCTTAAAGACGTATAAATTATGTGTTCAACTGCGTTTACGCTCTTTATAGGATTGTCAGATTCTAAATGTCAGATTGTAAATGTCATGAAAGATGTGCTTTTTGAGACACTCTTATAGCTAAAATTGAAAAATGCTGACAGAGATTGAGCAAACGGAAATTAATTTTAGGTGACGCAATTTTCAATGTGGCTAATGACATCGAAAGAAGTATTCGGTGGGAAACTTGTTTGAGATTTTTAGGCGTTTTACAATTTTTTTTACTTGAATAATTGAAAAACGACGTAAAAAAGACACAAAAAGCCGGTACATGTCAAAGTATGGATAACTTTATGACTTCCATACACAATATTGAATACTTCTGCATTTATAATGTACAATGAAACAATTTGACTTCAGTCTGAATATCGTTTTCAACCTCATTGGCAATTGTTGACTATTTTCACATGATATTTAAAATGGGCATGAGTGATGATAACACCATCACAAAATAACGCTTTTGTCAATGCTACGCAACTTGCATTGAATTGCTAACAGAAATTATGACGTTTTTGATTTGAACTACGATATCCTAATTAAATCCGACGTTTTAAACGCATTTTCCTTTACTTCAAATTTACTTGGTGTTATTTTCAAGACGACTAATAGCTGATTGTTTAAATTAAACAAGACTTACCTATAAGTTGATGTTTGATTGGAATTCTACTAGTTTCATCATTCAGGAACGAAGGAGTCACACGAGAAGCGCAAAACATAGGAAATAAAATGTTGACCTTTTTGACAATAAATAATTTACGGTATGACATTCTTGATAAGAAGCTCTTTGTTGGAAGAATGTGCTCATTTTAGCTTCAGTCAAAATTTCTCCAAGTATTTCAAATCAATTTTGAACACGTCTTTGTAAACGATATTCGTTAAGTTGAAAGTCTGAATTAACGCATGTTTCTTGATCTTTGAACATAATAACAAGTTGAAACAAATAGGAATCTTTTAGAAATTGATGAATTTGAACACCATTAAGCCTGGTTCACATACGACTGAGACTGGACTGAGGCATACCTGTGACGATGCCTGCGTTGCTCTTAAGGCAAATGTAAAAACTCATCGCTGACACACTAATGGTGTTTCAGGCAGTCGTAGGAGTTACCTGTGGTATACCGCCGAAATGCCGTAAAAGTTGAGTTGTGTTCAAGTTTCCCGGCATGTCGGCGGCTAAACAGCGGTGTACGGAACTTATTTTGGTTATTTATGTTATATGTGAACGTCTCTCCGATTGACCGGCGGCAATATTTCCCACACGCATTTTTGTAAAAAGATGGCGGATGAATTTTCAACACAGGACATGGAACCAAGAAATGACTCAATGGAAAAATTCCAATCACTTTACGATAAAAATAAAAACTTATGGATACAATACGCAACTATCGGGCTATTTATGATAAATCGTGTCCAGAGCACAAAAATCAAAGAGTAAAATCCAAATTATTCCCTTTTTTTCAAACCGGCTGTCCTATCTTTGATGTATTTTGAAATAACTGTTAAAAGGACCGCATAATTTGCTAATAGTAACGCTACTTTCAAATTACGAAGCACTATTTTGTCAAATTCAAATTGCAGCTAAATTTTTGTGGTCTATCGGCGATTTGAATTATGTCATTGAAAAGCATCGCAGACATGCCTCAGGCCTACCTCAGCCACAAGATCAAAAAACATCTCAGGCTTGCCCTTAATCTCAGTCATGTCTCAGTCATATGTGAACCAGGCTTAAATTAGTATTTATGTTTTCAAACTTTCTTTGTACATTGTAATGTCTTTCAGTCGGATGATTTCTCAAGTTAATGTTTTTGTCACATTCATGTCCATTCCTGGTAATCAGGTCACATTCATGTCTCTTTTAACACATACTCTTTTATAAATGGGGAGATTTCCTGCGACACAGGTTTCCCATCTAATTCTTCCTCGACGTCTTTTTTGACATAGGATTGTTGAAATGGAACGGAATTCGTCAATGCATACGAAAATTTGATAAAGTTTGATGAGAAACAAAAAAATTTGCTCCATTTAACATATATCTACTACTCGTCAAAAATAACTTTATTCTTCGCATGAGGTCACAGGAATAATTATTCATGTATTCTAAATATCTAAAGGCAGAAAAAGGCAAAATTTGGAAAAAATTAAAATTTTATGCCAGTACAAGACATTTAAGTTACATTCGCTACTTTGACTGCTTTATTAGCATTTCAGTGCAATATTTTCCCATTCCTATAATTTGCCTCAGACAATCAAACATTTACTCAGACATGGAAGACATACTGGGAATATACGTATAAGGTGCATGTCATGCGCAGAAGAAATGTTAACATAACAGTAATGCCATAGTGATGGATTTTTTTCTTGAAGACAGACCTGGATAATGTTGTCGTCTTCATATTTCCCCGAGGGAAGTCGGATTTCATGTTTTAATACTGGATGTAAATGGATAATTGAGTTCTTCTGCTGTATCATTTTGGCTATTTATCTTCCTGTATGCTTGATTGTATCCAGTATCACGTATTGCTTAGACATTTGCGTCTGTGGAATCCGCAAACTTGGATCCATAATTTGGATGCGACTTAACTGCTGTAACACAAATGGTCGCATTTGTTCAATGACATACCCGAGACCACGATTGGACCCTTTAACATGCCTTAAGGTAACTTTTGCTTTACTCTGCCTTAATGATATAATAAATAATTATGTAGTTTAAGATCTTGATGCTTTTCAGTTACGGCTTTATGATCTTCGGGATGAAACTTGTACAATGCAATTGATACCTTAGGCAGTTGTTGTGTAGAACTCTTTAGTTACAAAGCGTAATTCAACCTAAAAGTTTCGATATTTAAATTGCACAATGTTTTTTCAGCTTTGCAGGTTTCCATAAGCATATTTTTACTTGACAATTTTTATGATGTTTAGTTTTTGTACTTTTGGCAGACACACGAACAATGAAAGCTGTCGTTATAGCATAAGCAGCCAAGAAATCTGTTCAGGTTTTTTATGCATTCGATTTATTTAGAAAATATATTCCTTGATTTATATGCAATGTTTGTCACGCGAGTTATCTCGCGCGAGTTCCATTGCTTTCTATTGCTTTTACAAAGATTTAGGCAGTCTGCGATGCGAGACATACATACGTGTAACTCACGTGAGAAAGCGCGCGTGACAAACATTGCATATAAGTCATGGAATATATTGCACTGCGAGAATATACATACGTGTAACAAATTTCTGGGCCGCTTATGGTTATAAAAGATGTTTTTCGTCTACGTCACACATAAACCATCAAAATAAAAACATGGCGATAACAGTCAACTGTAATATCATTCATGAAATCGATCTATAATTATATTGATGACATCAGCCCAGTGCTCCAGATGTCGACCTGATGTTTTGAGGTGGATCAGCAATTTCCATAGCAACCTCGAGCGCTCATTGTGTAAACAAAAAAGCACTGGAGCGACCTACGCCTGTTGAGCTAATATACATTCAACTTTACATGAGCTAAATAAATGAATTCGAGATTTCACACCCGACAAGCGTGTATAGTGTTAGGAGATTCTGTTGCAAAGAGACATCTGATTGAACTATTGCTTCTATCGAAGAGCAAATGAACATTAAATCGGTGTTTATTACAAAAAAAAATTAAAAAGTTGTTTTAATTCGTTTGTTTGTTACACATTTGTGTTGGTATTTGATCATATTGAGCAATAAAACAAATTGGTTCCTTTTTTGCACTTTTAAGAACTACTATCATAAAATGTTTGGTAATAACCTTACGATTTCAAACGTTTTCATTATCCTTAAGTATAGTGTATTGAAGTTTCAATTTTGAAATTTGAAATTGATGTTTAAAGGGTACACTAATTTCAGTGAAACCATTTTTTCATTAAAGTCGAAAGCAGTCGACGGCCTTTGCAAGTATCTAACCTCTGCTTCTTTAACTATTTTTATATTTGAATTACATGCAAAAATATTACGTAAGCTAGTTTGCTAGAAATTTAATTTGCTCCTAATTCGCTTGACTTGGCATAAATAACGAGACGTAATTATTGCTAAATATCTACTTACTAATTCATTACATGTTTGTGTTTCAGCAAGTTTTCTTGGTGATGATCATACCTCGCATTATGGCTACTGTTGTATTTGCAATCTACGATTGGCGTTGCATGATTTATGAGAAAAAGTCAGTTTTGAATTGTAAACAAGATCATAAGTTTGGTGATGCTGTGTCCTGGATCGACGCATGGCTTTCCCTATCCATCGTATCATCGCTAATACTTATCATAGTATTTATATGCGATGATGAGTTCACATTCGTCAGAGAAAATTGTAGAAATATTTGTAGAAAAGGCTCTTTCTTTTCTTTGTTGTTCCTAATGGTAGTGACATTAGGGTTTTACATGTGGCGCTTAGTTTCTGGGACAAGAGTTTTTGCGGCTTTACTTTTTCTTCTTTGGGTTCCAATTACTACAGCACTTGTAAGTGTTGTAAATTTTGTACCTCGGATTTTGCCAGATGGCACAAATAGAACAAATGGATCAAATGGAACAAATGGACTCTTAAGCTTTTTGAAAGTTAGTAAGATTTGGTTCTATTGGCTTGCAGTACTCATATATT